TAAAACTAGTTTTACGGATTTTAATGCATATATTTAACTTATTTTATATTCCCGACGTTTCTAGCACTTTACAGCACCCATGGTTACGAGGGGGGGGGGGGGGCTACGGTGTATAACGTCCCAATGTCATAGTTAACCACGGCTACCTCCAGATAAAAATTATTAAATTTTGTTCTGATCTACGCAGTGTGAACTTGCAGTATCTTGAAGTCTTGCAGTTGTATGCTTGGGTTGGGATTTAATTTTATCAATTATGGTATCCCAAGCAGATGGTAGCACCTAGCCATCTTCTCTATTGAAATTAGGATGTTTTTTGATTTCAATAGCCTTGCGAATCATCCTTGGAAGGATTCGGTGCTCTTTAGCGAGGATTAGTGGTCTATCAAATCTCAGTAGTAGCCCGAAGTCAGAAGTTGGTGGTGTTTCATCCCCTACTTCGGAAAGCACGTAAAGCCGACCATGTTGGATACCCGTCCTAACGGACGTGAGTAAGGGAACAGAGTGCACCTGTGTTTGGGCACTGTAATCCTGTCCTGAGAAGACTACTCACCGTTGAGACTGGCCGCCGTGACCGAAATTCAGTCTGCAGGATTATTATTATAAAGCAGCACTTAAAATTGGAATTAACAATTTCGTTAATGCCGGCGGACTAAACGTAGCATTTCATTTGTTTCTAGTTTTTCTAATATAATATAAAACGTAACTCCAAATAGCCTTACTTGAGTTTCTGCATTAGTTGCGCTTATTGGCAAGTTTCCCACAATCCAAACTATATCCCCCACCCCTACTATACAAATACTAAAGGGAGCATCGACCTTCGGCTCAAAAGCGTAGCGATGCTTGCCAAGTGATTGTAGATAAGGCTCGATTTGGAAACTCAAACTTTAGGCAGGGTATAGACACTAGTAGCTACGAACTTATTATTTTTGCCCGGTCATGAGATACCACGGTTCCACTTGAGAAAAAATTCAATCTTTGTTCATGAGTTAAAGAATAAAGTAACACTCTACAACTAGTCTGTTGGGCACCATTTCAGCCTCGGAGTTTGTCTGCCGTCAATCAACAGTACACCACTGCCGTGTTCAGTATAATATGTAGTAACAGGCTGTAAGACATTCCATTTTAGTACTCTAGGGTGATACGCATTTTATTACTTTGTTTTTTTTTTTACCGTTAACCCCACTCTGGGGCCTTCTCCTGAGGCAGTGTACAAACATAAATTGCACAAGGACAAACATCTAGACTCGGTACAATTATTTGTAGACTGTACAAATACTTATTCCGTGCGGGATTCGTACCCACGGCACCCAGCGTCGCATCTCATTGCGAAGCCGCTGCGCCACGGAGTCGTTAAGTTGTTTGTTTGAAGTTGTTTGCAGCTATCCATGGGGCGCAGTAACCAAAGAATACATAATTCCACCAAATTATTGCATAGTCGTAAACGCGTCTGCTGATTTTCTGCCGACTTCCAAAAAGGAGACGGTACTCAATTCGACTGTATGCTTTTTTTATGTGTGTTACCTCATAACTTTTTGCTGGGTAAACCGATTTCGATGATTCCTGTTTTATTTGAAAGCTGGTACTTCGCGTGTGGTCCCATATGAATTTGCTCACGGACAGACCAATAGTTTTTGAGTTATTCTTAATAACTTAATTTGAAGTCGGCTGTACAAAATTTTAAATTTTATAGTGTTTCTCTTATGCCAGATTACTTACTATTTTTAAGAAACACCAATTACAATCTGTTGTACATAATACAAAGTAGTTAAGTTTGTGGTGCTGAAGCTTTTTAAAAACTACAAATATGTCTCCATGACATTTATTACTATTACAATACAATAATGTATTAAAACTAATTCAGTACAATACGGACTCTTCCTTACTTAAGTGATTACATTACTACAATGAGAACTAAAATGAATCTTGTTCTAAATGCATGGGCTTTTATAGGATGGTCAAAACAAGACAGTTGACTGAAAGTATGACGCCATGGTTTGACCAGCAATAACAACTATACAATGGTGTCAGCGTCTTCTGTAATGTTAGTTACAACCATAAGATGTTTTCGGTAATCCAATATCAAAAGCTATATCCGCACTATTCATGGTCAACATGTTAATGTAAATTTATGGCTACTTGCAATTATCATGTTTTTGGAATCAACAGGTATTAAGGCTATTTCCAGACTGCATAACTAAGTGCTAAACAAACTTTTTTTTACGTGGTAGAGCCATGCTGCAGCTATATTATGGTTGTAGCACGAATGGGTCGGCTCGACCGGGGAAGGAACACGCTCTCACAGAAAACCAGCGTAAAATAGCAGCTTAACGCTGCTGTGTTTCGTATGGTGAGTGTAGAGACCCGGAGACCCTTTTTACTGGCAAAGAGGCATTCCATCTTAGTCCTTACGGGTGACAACGCATCTGCATCTTGAGTCTTAATTGAGGATAGACGTAGATGTCTATGGGTCACAGCAACCACTTACCATCAGGTGGACTGTGTGCTCGTTTGTCACCCGATCCTATAAAAAAAAAACTGCTAACTGCTAACCTGCTTAGTTTACCGCTCTATCTACCTAAGTTAGTCACACATTATGGAAGAGATGTAACCAACTCATTGTCACTTCATTTAACAAACACGGAAATCGATTTCTTTGAGCTTAGTTATCTGTTTATTTTCTATTGAAAAAGTTTGTGAGTGGTGCTCCAGTGAAACTCTTACAGATATATGTACCAGAGACGCACTTTTAATTTCTAACGGCGACTGACTTTCAGAAGAATTAGGTAAGTGTACAGGCTGTAAGCACAGGTTTAGGAAATTTGTGTTACGAGAGTGAATTTTTAAGTTCGCGGCGGTAAGGAGTGGGGGTAATTTCCGAAGTGGTCACTGCGATCGGCCTTCCTGGCCGTGGGTCGTTTTCAAGTGACTCTCTGCCTTGTTTAAAAAGTGTATGCCACTTGTAAACCACAGTTTTACTTGGACAAGAGTCTTCGTAAACGGATGACGTCTCTTCCAGTATAGTCTGAACTGATTTTCCGAGCTTGGTAAGAAACTTTATAACGGCACGGAACTCGATTTTCTCCATATTTCACAATTTCTTCCCGATTGACTTGCTTGGTTGACGATAACTCAAAGACTAATGATCTCCTTTCATAAGTCCACTGCTGAACATAGGCCTCCCCCAAGGAATGCCACAAAGCACGGTCCTGAGCCACCTGCATCCATCGACTTCCTGCATGTCTTACCAGGTCGTCACTCCATCTCGTGGGGGGTCGCCCTACACTTCGCCTACCGGTACGAGGCTGCCACTCAAGAACCTTTCTTCCCCATCGGTTGTCGGTTCTTCGAGTTATAGTGCCGGCCCACTGCCACTTCAGCTTACTAATCCGTTGGGCTATGTCGGTTACTCTGGTTCTACTGCGGATATCCTCATTCCTAAGTTTATCACGCAGAGAAACTCCCAGCATAGCCCTCTCCATAGTTCGCTGAGCGACCTTGAGCTTCCTCATACGGCCAGCTTCCTTCCTATGGGCTTCCCGAGAAATTGTGCAAATGGATCACCAGTTTCCTTGCTGATCGGAGCATCAAGGTCGTAGTAGACGGTGCATGCTCTGATTTCAAGCCTATCAACGCTGGTGTTCCACAAGGCTGCGTGCTATCACCAACGCTGTTTCTCCTGCATATCAATGATATGTTACTAACTGGTAGCATTCATTGCTATGCAGACGACAGCACTGGTGATGCCTTATATACCGGCCGTGTCAATATTTCTCGGGAAAACGTCGCCGAGTACCGGGACAAACTTGTATCTGAAGTCGAGTCTTTGCTTAACTGGGGGCTGGGGCTGGCTGGGGGCGACTAAATCTAGTCCAGTTCAATCCCCAGAAGACACAAGTTTGCGCGTTTACCGCTAAAAAGAACCCTTTTGTCGTATCTCCTCAGTTTCAAGGCACTCTCCTTGCTGCCTCAGCTAGTATCGGAATCCTTGGCGTCGACATATCGAATAGTGTGCAGTTTCGTGGTCACTTGGAAGGGAAGGCCAAATTGGCCTCTAAAAAGCTTGGCGTGCTCAGCAGAGCGAGACAGTATTTAATGCCGGCACATCGCTTGCAACTTTACAAAGCGCAAGTTCGGCCCCACATGGAATACTGTTCTCATCTCTGGGCCGGGGCACCCCAGTGTCAGCTCCTTCCACTTGACCGCATCCAGCGCAGAGCGGTTCGAATTGTCGACGACCGAGTTCTTTCTGATCGGCTCGATACACTGGCGCTGCGCAGAGATGTTGCATCTCTTTGCGTATTTAATCGCATCTATCACGGGGAGTGCTCTGAGGAATTGTTTGGACTAATTCCAGCCGCTCAATTTCACCATCGCACATCGCGACAAAACTCGCGTTACCATCCATACCATCTGGATGATTGGCGGTCCACCACTATGCGATTTAGAAGAAGTTTTCTCCCTCGCACAACTTCCGTGTGGAATCAATTACCACCAGCGAATTTTCCGGACCGATACGACTTAGGAACCTTCAAGAAAAGAGCTTACACCTTTCTAAAAGGCCGGCAACGCATCTGCAATTCCCCAGGTGTTGCGGTTGTTCATGGGCGGCGGTAGTCACTTACCATCAGGTGAACCGCATTCTCGTTTGCCCCCTTTTCTATAAAAAAAATTAAAATAAAAAAAGGACCACGTCTCAGATCCGTAAGTCATCACTGGCAACACGCACTGGTTGTACAATTTCGTTTTAAGGTTTTGAGGTATGTCTGACTAGAAGATGTGTCGTAGCTTCCCGAACGCTGCCCAGCCGAGTTGAATCCGTCGATTGACGAATTATTATAAGACTAATGATCTAATTACAATAAAACCCGGTATTTGTACTAATAATGAGTTGCTCAATTAGCACGTAATTCAGCGACGTCCCCACTTATTACCTACCTACCCATTCAGCTAACTTAAAAACGCACCCTCGTATATAAAAAGAGAAGAAACTTCTGACTTACCTTTAGGAAATATAAGTACAACATCAGTCTGCAGAGTGGGTGTGGAATGTAGTAGTAGGCGGCGAGGATGGATCAAATGCGCGCCAATTTGACCCGCCATAGGAAGACGTCGGCGCAGTTCTCTGCCAGCTGCACAGGAAAAGCACTGCTATATATAGGAGACCTGCAAACTTTTTAGCCTAAGGGCACAGTGACTCCTCCAACAACACCACTAAAACTGTTAAATGCAATTTCAAATACAGATTTGCCACATACTTAGGCCAATGGTAAAGGAAAACAATATGGAGTAATTAATAGAAAATGTTTACTTGGTAGAGCCATGGTGCAGCTATATTAATAGTATAGTTGTAGCAGAAATGGGGGACTGGGAAGGACCAAGCTCTCACAGAATACCAGCTAGAATAGGAGCTTAACGCTGCAGTGTTTCGTACGTTGAGTGCAGAAAACCGGAGACCCTTTTTTCTTTAAACGAGGCATTCCATCTTAGTCCTCACAGGTGACAACGCATCTGCATTTTGATTCATAATCGACGACTCTCTAAATAACCTCCTTTTAAATTCAAAATCAACACCTGTCTTGTATATCTGAGATCTGAGCCTTCCCCATGGAATATACCACACAAACCACATTGCATCCACTGACTTCCGCCATGCAGGGACTTGTTACAGATCTTGCTTTGAGTGTTAAGAATTCGTAAAACAAATACTTTTGGTTATATTTTCTTATAAAACTAAAATGGCATGACTTTACTCTCCACCGGATGGTAAGTGTACTGCTGTCCATTGACCACTGTAGCCAACTTCAAACAAAGAAGGCTAGTAAAGTAGTAAAGAAGGAGTTCACCTCAAAGGTCTAAGATGGGATGCATCACAGCCTCTAACTGTACTGGCGCTCTATTCCCTTCAAATCGGAAGACAGCAGTGCAAGTACAATTATTTGGCGGTAGAAATAGACAAAAAGTACCTTCCCACATGGATTCTTAGCCAGAAAAGGGATACATTTCTACCATCTCTACTATCTAGTGTATTTTAGACATTTAATATTTTTACAATAGATTAGTTACAAAATAATTACATATAATATCACATAAACAGCATTATTACGAAAAATGGTTTACTGAAAGTCTCGGGTTTAAAGAAGAATTCTGTCAGTCTCTGCAAAATTTAACGTTTGCTGTGAAACTACTTTAATAATTTAAATGGCGCAAATATAAATCTCTGAGAGATGACTATATATTTGTGCCATTTGCTGTAGAGACTATCGATCCATGGGGTCCATGTGTGGTAAAGCTCCTTAAGGAACTCTATCCACAACTGGTTGTTGCTGCTGGTGATTAGAGGGCTGGTTCTTTTCTTGCTCAATGGCTGTTTTTTAAATTATAGTTTTAATATTGTATATAATAAGATATTGTATCTACTATAAATGAAAAAAATAAATATCTGATTTTGGTAGTAAAAATACTTAAGTATGGTGGCAACATTATGTTACTTTTAAGTTTTTATAGTGGCAACAATTTTTTGATTTTTTTTGGCAACACTGTCATTTACGAGATGGCATCGTGAGCTCAGTTGATATTTGTTTTTTGTGGTGGAGTTTTAATTAAATTTTCATAGTAAATCTTTTGAATTATTGTTATATTTCGTTATATACCGACTTTTTAAACGATGACATATTATCAATAAAGAGTTTGTAATTCATAGAAATTTTATTTTTTTAGATATATTAGGCTTATTAGGATATATTAGGCTGGAAGTGTAAGAGTGATATCGAAAGAAGAGTGAATGCAGGAAACATGGTGAATGGAGCTTTGCACTCCTTTATGAGCAGTCGGAAGGTGTCTAACAAGGCTCGTTTGGCTGTGAATGAGGTTCCGACACTCATGTACGAAAGTGAAATTTTGGTATGGCAGAAGAAACATGAAAGCAGTATAAATGCAGTTGAGATGAGAGCGTTAAGAAGTATGATAGGAGTTAAACTGAGTGCCAGGATAATAAATAGTGAGATAAGGAAACGTTGTGGTCTGAAAGAAGATGTAGTGACAAAAATTGAGAAAGGTATGCTGAGATGGTTTGGCCATGTCGAGAGAATGAATGAAGAACGATTGACGATAAAAGTGTAATAAGGCGAGTGTGAATGAAAGTGTTGGAAGGGGTAGACCTAGGCGGACATTTCTAGACCACATCAGGGACGTCTTGAAAAAAGGCCAGGTCAAGAGTACCCTAAGCATGAAGGGTGTTTAGGCAAAATATTAACCATTTGAAATTGTATTATTAACGCACGCTAATAGCCTAGCATCGTATCGAGGTCACATCCCCCCCCCCCCCCCCCCCGCCCCGCGCTGACATTCCATTCGAGCGGTGTCGACTGGACACGTCGAGGCAATTCATTATAATATAATAAATCGGTTGATCGTAGCAGACGTTTTTGTTTTTTCTGTTAAATTTGCCGCGTCACGAACGGAGGTGAACTTTATCCGTCTGTCGTCGGAAGCGCCACGTGTTGGTTCTTGACTGTGATCAACGGATTCAGTTCCTTTTTTGCGAAGCTAGTTGAATGTGAATAGACTGACCTAGTGCCTTGAAGAGGGAAATTGCCACCGGGGACGCCGCAGGAGAATACCGCCTCCGGGGAACCATCGTGCCATCCGGTTCAGGCCACCTACACACAAACACTCACACACCACTCACATGCACTACACCTTCAGCCTGACAGATCCAGGTCATCAGTCTCCGCTCCCGAAGCAGGTAAGTACCGTATTAGTTAAATACTCTCTATTCGGCTAGCCTTCCCTTTAAAGCTTAGTAGGATAGAACATTCCACAAGGCCATTCGGCCCGTCCTTAATTGTTCAACGAGCCTACAGCTCTGGGCCCCTGTGGGATCGTACTTTATCGGGACAGTTAGGGGCGTGTACAAGCTGGTAGCAGGAGCGTGGCTGATTGAATTCCAATCACGCCACGGCCGTAATATTAATATACATATAATTTTTTTTTTGTTCTTGGCTAGGTACTTACCGTAGTTTGTTAAGGCTAGGTACTTGACTAAGTAGATAAGGCTATCACACGTAATCGGATAACTATCGTTGGCGTATAGTTATAGTAGATTAATTGTCGAAGGGTCGGCTGTTTGAGCGAGGCATTTTGCTGATTAAATGTAGTGTAACTTGTATTTAATTTAATAAATAGTAAGTTGTATTTGTAGTAATTTGTATTTAACTCAATTTCATAGTAATTGTATTTGCTATTTGTTAATTTGATTTGTGTTTTTTTTTGTGTTTTCTGCATTAGTTTGTATTTATTAGTGATGCCGTCGCACAAGCAACCGGCGCTCCTCCTGCAGGCGGAGCTGCGTTGGGCCGCTAACGCCCATATTTTGATAGGTCGACCTGATCAGGTTCATAGTTTAGGGAAGCGGCTCGAGCATGTCGATGCCCGAAGGGCTGTAGTGGAGGAGGCTTGCATAGAGCTTTTGGCCTCGGATGCGGAACAGGAAGTCCTAGACTCCTACCTCGCGGACTACGAGAAATTTTTTGCGCTCACGGACGATTTGATCGAGGCGGGGGCCAAGGATACGGAGGAAGCGCGTGAAGCTAGACTGAGGTGCCTGTCCGAGTTTCCTCGGAAGCAGCCTACTCAGCCGGAGCTGTTAGGACGACTCCCGACTCTGGACCTGCCAAGGTTCTCCGGGGTCCTCTCCGAATGGCTGACGTTCGTCGGTCTCTTTGACAGCCTGGTGGACACCCGGAGGGATTTGACGCCCAGCCAGAAAATGGGGTACCTCCTAGCCTCATTGGAGGAGGAGGCCCTGGGCGTCGTCGGTCACCTGAAATTGTCGGACGACGCCTACCAGAATGCTCGGGACCTCCTCGCCGGAAGGTACGCCAACGTCTGCCGGATTGCGGACGACTACGTGCGGAAGTTGCTAATCCTCCCGCTGCTGAAGGATCGGACCACACTACGCACGGACATCGTGAATCCAGTCGTGGTGGCTTGCAACTAATTGAGGCGGCTGGATTTACCGGTGGACGAATGGTCTTTTCTATTGCTCCACATTGTGCTGTCTCGCCTGCCTCTCGACCTTCGGCTCCACTTCGAGGAGAGGTACGGCGGGGATGGCAACTCCTATATTCCTCCCTTCAGGGATCTGCTGCGATTCTTGGAGGAGCAGTGCAGACAGATGTAGAACGCAGCAGACGCCGTTGAGGAACCCCAGGTTGTCACCCGAACGGTGCCCAGGGAGAGGCGGAATTCGAAGGCCAAGGCGTCGCCAACCCCCCTGAGGCCGAGCGGAGCTCCCGCGGGAGGGCGCCACCCCCTACCCTCTTATAGTGGCCTAGCGGCCAGGGAAGCGCCCCCCTGCTCCTATTGTCGAGCATCCGATCATCGGGCGATGACGTGCCCTAAGTTCCTGGGTAAGCTGGTCCCGGCGAGGCGAACCATCGCCAGGGAGCGCCGCTGGTGCTACTCGTGCTTGGAACTCGCACCAGCGACCCTGTCCGCACTGCCAGGACAACCACCATGCCGTGTTGTGCCTGGGTGCGAACGGCGCGTCCTCTCAGGACCCTGCCGGCCCCCCGACTCCCACGGGCGGGGGCGCTTAGCCACGCCCCCTGTCGGGCGACACTCGGCGCTCGCCTGCCGACCGCCACGCCCCTCGTTCTGAGGGGAGACACTCCCCCGACCGGTCGGGGAGTCGTTCCCCCAGGGGCGGGGCGGTCGTCACCCCCACTCAGCGTGTTGAGAGGGGCTTCGCGGCCACTCAGCGGTCAGCTAGACCGTTCTCACCCCCGTTGGCTGAGTGGCCGCGACTGGAACGCCGCCTTCCCCCTTTTGGCCGTTGCGGATATTACCGGGTTCCTGAGGCCTCGTATCGGTCCCGGGCCTCGGGGCCGAGGCTCCCCGAATTTCCCCAGGTTGGCCCGTTCAGGGAATTCCAGCCGCGGGTCATCGAGATGCCGTCGGAGTGCCGCTCTCGGGGCCCCCGGTTCGGGTGCCGGTCCGACAGAGGCAGCTCCAGATAGGAGGCTGCCGTCCTAGCTCCCACCATGGCCGCCTCCACTGAGCCTTTCAGCCATCGGCAGTCCACCTGTCAAACTGTTCTATTGCCGACGGCCTCAGTGAAGGTGTACCACCCGAGCGGCGACCGCTTAACGGTTCGAGCTCTATTGGATTCGGGTTCACAACGTAGTGTGGCCTCCACTTGGTTGGTGGGAAGACTGGGGCTCCCCTGGAGCTCTGAATTACGTCTGATGGTAGGTATCGGAGGTGCCGAGCTTCATGCTCCTAGGGGACAAGCAGAGTTGGTGGTCAGCCCCGCCAGCGAACACCTTCACATTTTAGTCAAGGTAAATGTCCTCGATGACATTGTAGGTTTTCTCCCTAACGTTCGTATAAATGACGGCGCGGTTCGTTGTGCGTCGGGTTTGAGACCGGCGGACCCTCAATGGTCCCAACCTGGGCCTATAGATTTGTTGCTGGGGGCCGACGCGCTGGGGTTCATCTTGTTAGGCGAGATACGAGCCCTGCAGCCTGATGGCTTGTCGGTCGTGTCCACTGTATTTGGGCACAGTTTCTTTGGACCGGTTATGTGGTCTCCTCCCCCTCCGACGGCCGACCCACTCTCTGTTGTGGGCGTGTCCCTTTCGGAGGCCGTCCAGCGGTTCTGGGAAATTGAGGAACCACCACATGCGGCTCGAGTCAACCCTCTGGACCGTGAGTGCGAGTTGTTCTACTAGAACAATACCGGCCGTCGTGTCGAAGGTCGTTTACTCACTCGCTTACCCTTTCTGGACTCACGTCCCCCTTTAGGTCAATCCCGTGCACTAGCCGAGAAAAGGTTGCTTTCCATGGAGCGCCGCATGCGGCGCGACCCAGCCTTTCGCGACAAATATGTCGAGTTCATGCGCGAGTATCGAGAGCCGGGTCACATGTCACCGTCCAACTTCGAATGGCGTTCACAGGAGCACTACTTCCTCCCTCACCATGCAGTCTTGAGGACCCCTGAGAGTAAGATTCGGGTAGTTTTTGACGGCTCCGCCCCCACGTCAAATGGTGTGTCCCTGAACCAGTGTCTTCACTCTGATCCTAAACTAATCAAGGACATATCCGACATTTTGACGCAATTCCGTCGACACCAAGTGGTTTTTGTTGCCGACATTCGGATGATGTTTCGACAATCAGTGGTCCATCGTGATGACCGTCGATATCAGCTGATATTGTGGCGCAAGAAGCCCAACGATTCGATACAGGTGTTTGAGTTGAACACCACCACCTATGGACTCCGGTCCAGCCCGTATATCGCCATGCGAACCCTCCTTGAACACGCAGAGAGAGAGAGAGCGCCTAAGATACGCTCGGGGAGCTTCTATTTTGGAGACTTCGGTCTACATGGACGACATTTGTACGGGCGCCTCCCCCATCGAGGAGGCTCTTGTCTTGCGAGACAAATTAATTGCCATCCTGAAGTCCGGAGGTTATGAGTTGCGCAAATGGTTGACGAACTCCCCTCATATTTTGAAGGACCTCCCAGGAGAGGATCAACAAGACCCTCATCTATTCGAGCACCCTGAAAATTCTAATTTGTTGACTGTGCTGGGCATTCAATATCAGCCTGTTCAGGACACCTTCACGTATGGAGTAAAACTTGATCCCCCTTCCAAAGCATGGACCAAGCGCTCCGTGCTGTCTACAGTAGCCCGCATCTTCAACCCTAATGGATGGATCACGCCTGTAATCTTTTTGGCTAAGTGCTTTCTTCAAAAGCTCTGGATGTCCGGGTTGGGTTGGGACGAGCCTCTTAGCGGAGCCCTCTTGCGAGAGTGGCTCTCCATGGTCTCCTCCCTTCCGGACATCAACCGGGTCTCCATGCCAAGGTGCTTCCTCCCTCCAGGGAAATGCAGGGCTACCCTACATGGGTTTTGCGACGCCTGTGAGAAAGGCTATGCTGCTGTCGTATATTTGCGGACGGTGAGTTCTTCTGGTCATACTGCAGTCCATCTCGTACTTGCTAAAAGCAAGGTTGCTCCCATTAGGTCCCGCTTAACTATCCCTAAATTGGAACTGTCCGGAGCCGCTCTTCTCACGCGAATCCTCAACCACGTTCACTCGTCCTTGAAGCCTGCAATCGAGATTACGGACGTCTACGCGTGGTCGGACAGTGAGATAGTACTTTGTTGGCTCAGAGCTGCACCTCACAATCTTGAGGTCTTTGTGGCGAATCGCGTGTCTAAAATCCAGAGTTCTGAGACTTCTCTAAACTGGAGACATGTCCCAGGGGAATTGAATCTCGCAGACTGCGCTTCTCGCGGCTGTGAGGCCCCCTCGTTGGTTGACCACCCGCTGTGGTGGGGTCCCGGTTGGTTATCCGAGTCTCAGTCATTCTGGCCCCAGGGTAATTACTCCGAACCGATTGAATTGCCTGGCCTACGAGCCCGAGTAGGAGTGGGCAAGGATAAGCCCACTCGGGATCTCTCTCTTCTGGAACGGTACAGATCTCTGGATAAGCTCTTAGGAGTGACTGCTTGGTTGCGCCGATTTGTCCGCAATTCGAGAGACCCGTCCAACCGAATCTCTGATTTCGTTTTGTCCCCTAGCGAGCGTCGTGAAGCTTTGATGCATTGGACCCGTATGGTCCAATGGGAGCATTTTGAGCTCGTGATTGAAAATTTGAAGCATGGCTCCGTTGTCAAGGGCGCTCTGGCCCGTCTGAACCTCTTTCTGGACGACGCTGGGATGCTGCGCGTTGGTGGACTTAACAGCACCGATTAGGGCAGATAACAAATAAAATAGGTTAGGTTCAACTTATGTCAAAGAACCAAATTGATTGACCCCGACTCCACTTGGTACGAGTCTGTCCTACCCCTAGAGTGGTTTTAAAGAGCCGGAGGCGCGTAGGGGGAGCAGCCTCCGCCTGCTGTAACAAATCGCAGGCATCCCTCCTTGCCTCCGCAGCTTCAGCCGCTCCAGCTCGTCTGATGCCTGTAATTTGTTACGCTAAGGCGTAGAGGCTGCTCTTCCCGCAGCGCCGGAGACGTAGCAGTCTCAAAATAGATACAGAAATCCTTCTGAATCAGTCCCCCTATATTTTATTATGAAGGGGATTTTTTTTTTCTCATAAAATGGATTTATATTTACATTATAAATGCATACATGAAAAAAATATAGATATTTTGGAAATCTATTTTTTGGGAATCGATACATCAGCTTACAATTCGAATCTATTTAAGAAATCTATCTTTTTCGGAAAGAATTGAGATCCCTACTGACAATAACAATAAAAAATGGCACCACTTTTATTGTAGGATTAGACATAAACAATGCAAGAATAATTGATTTTCAATAACTTTTTTCTCAAAAATTACGCACTTCCGCATGTTGTAACTTTGTGTGTGTGCTTATAATAGTGTAACTTTTCTGTAATAATACGTATCAACCCCCAACTCGACGGGAGTTAATGGAAAGTCGTACCCTAATCATAATATACTACAAAGCAAAAAGGCAAATTGTGTCAAATGTAGAGTAAAACTGAGACTAATCAAGTGTACTCTACTTTTTGTAATAAGCCAGAGAACAAAATGTTTTCGAATATTTTTATTTTTATTCAAGAATATTTATTTTTCTTTCTCAACATCTCATTATATTTATGTTTCTCAACATAATTACTCATTTATTACCATCACACAAGACCAAGATATATTCACTAAAATAAAATAAAAACTTGCAAGAACTTGAATGTCAACATAAAGCACAAATTGCGAGTTGGAATTTTTGTTTTTATTAGCCCTAGTGACTAGTACAATAATATGAGAATATGCTACGCTACACATTAAGTACAAAGATAAAGATAATTTATTTCTATTTAGGTTCCATCTAGAAGTTAATTATTGCTTCATGAAGAAGCCAAAAATATTCTTCTGTGTTGAAAAATATGTGACACTTTTAAAGCTAAATAAACTTAAAAAGTAAATATAGAAAGTAACAAATAAGTTTTATCGAATGAGAAGTGTATTAATTGCTATGTAAAATTAGCAAATTTATTTTAGACCCTGAAATATAACTAAAATACATACCGCTATCCAATTTATCTTTCGCAAATTCAGCAAATGACCTATGCTCTTGAGGAGAAGAATGGGAACTATTCTTCTCGTGATCTTTTTCATGATTTCCCGCCGCTTCTTCGGTTTCCATCATGGTTTCAAACAATACGTAGTTTCGCGGAAGACAACAATACCCTCAAGCCTAAGTTCCAAAGAGAATTTATTCACTGTTATAAGGCTGAGTTTTTTAGTTATTTATTCTTACATCATCGATCACAATAGCACTCACACCACAAATGATATAATATGCGTAACACGTGGATGTGTTTACTTTACACAGCTTTTAATTCATAACATTATTATAGCTAAACAAAATGTTTACCTAACCAATTAAATAAATAACATTCTTTTATTGCGACTTTTGAAGACAATCATCTATCTGTCACATTTCAAAATTGATTTTTGGCCGCCATTAAATACTGTGTTGCAATATTGAAATTTTATTTTATATACACAAATAGTTTAAGGTCACTTTTTTCTACAGTATTTTTTTCTATTATATAATATCTTCTTGCAAAACAAATCAATTAAAATTATTTTTGAAATGTTTTGGCATATTGCTAGTTTTATTACGTAGTTTGTACTATATTTATTAATCTGATGTTATAAAAAATAATTTTTTGAATCTATAACTGTAAACATTTTCTTTTCAGTCAGTGAAGTCAGCTAAGAAAATTACCCCTAAATTTCGGGTAAAAAGAACAACACACAGAGTTGTAAGGGCTTGATTTTTGTTTAATGGCTTTACTTCCACGTTTTAGATATGATCTCAAATTAAATCTCATATTATACCTCATACTAAAAACTTAGGTACTTTGGTTGAAGCTTAGTAGTAAACTGTAGCAGTCTGAGACGAATATAATAATATAACATCGTATAGCTTATAAGTCTACAAATGTATTTTTACTTAAAACGTAATTTTAATTGACATTTTAAATCTGTGGTCATTTAAAGTGGTGCCTAAAACAAGAATAACAATTAAATGTTAGAGTTAAACTTAACGTAAATAACGATTACGGTAACAGATGATAAATTTTTATTTTTACAATATTTGTAATAGTTAGTAGCGTAAAACGAAAAATAGGAATTACTGAAAAAATATGTATTCAGAACAATTTTATTTCAAGACCATAAATTTTAAATTAGATAACCATTAAATTATGGAAAAATCTGTATTCTTTTTTTGTTATTTGTTTTGGTTTAAAAAACGTTACCTCCACACTAGAATTTTCTCCTGTGTCGTGGTGGCAGTTTACAAACATAAATTGCACAAGGACAAACATCCAGACCCGGAACAATTATTTGGAGGCCATACAAATACTTGTTTCGTGCGGGATTCAAACCCGCGGTCCCCAGCGCAACAACTCATTGCTAAGCCACTGCGCCATGGAGCCGTAATTATTGTTAACATACCCTTTTTACATCGGAAAATACCTATGCATATCGGACTAGTACTAACAAAAATGCGTGAGAGTCGTGGAACACTCGGTTAGAACGAAGTTCCTTGCATAGTATATTATTATTGATAAACGTAGGTATTATATGATTGATTAACAAATACAAATAAATGAATTACTAGCGTCTATTAAAATGAAGCGTCATTTGAAATAAAATAACATTTCTTCCATGGCAAGATAAGAAAAAGTGCGAGGGAGATGGATATTATTCAATCTCACTTCCTTATTTCGCCGCCAAGGCCGTCTACAATACAAAAGACATTCTATGACACAAAGGGTGGTGACGAAAAAATATTACACTTTTTGTCGCCTAGCTCATATACGCCAAACCCGTACTGTCCAATAAGGAACTTCGTTCCAAAACTCCATGGAGTTCCACCTTTATCGCATATCGACAAGAGCACAGCAACGATTTTACATACTTCCGCAGCCCCATTGACGCCAGCCACTACTTGCCACCCTGAATTTATGAAAGATGAATTCTCCTCCTATTCCTTTTGAGGTGAAGCACATAAAAACGAGGCGCGCTTTCCTATACGGTCTCCATTTCCACAAGTGCAACGGATTGTACTTAAGTCCGTTATGAGAAACCCATGGGACGAAAAAACGAGTATAAGTAAAATTTTTCTTTCCGATCCAAGCACTGGATCTGGGAGGACCTGGATCTGGAAGGTAAGGGAAACGGTCCATTGCTATAGAAACACTCCTCTTTTCTCGTGGTCCAATTATAGACAACTTCTCTTCTCCTCGGTTGTGGTTGGAAGGCAAAGAGACAACCCTCCTGTCAATTTGCACCAAAACGAATTCGCAGTGTGGTCAACTATGGTAGCTCTTTCACTTCGGGCCAACGGTGAGTTTTCTTCTTGGCTTAATATGGGTGATAAATAATAATAATAATAAGTGTTTATTTCAGACGTAAGGAACATCCATAGATTGTTAGTATGTTAGTAACAATTTTTCCTTAACTTGTAAGTTAGTATTGTTAGTTAATGTGAATTATGTACAAATTATTTTCTCGCCCAATAGCTACCGTCATACAGTGGTGCAGTATGGGGCAGTCGGGCCTGGCAGCAATTACCCTTAGGATGCCGTTGTTGCTGGTACGTAAGCGCTGCAGGAGAGACGCTGCTTTTCTACGCATTATGGCGAAAAAGTCATTAGTGTGTGCGTCTGCAAACATTTTAGAGGCACTACAGCGCCACGGCAGCCTCAACAGCATTCTAAAAGCGTTGTTATATTGAACACGCAGGGCGCTCTAGGTCTGGCGTGTATAAGTCACCCACAGAGCACCGGTATAGAAAGACTGACAGAACGCTTTAAATAAAGTTACTTTCACGTCTGCAGTGCACCGGGCAAATCTGCGGGCAAGCATATTGCCCCTTACCGACAACACTCTGCGCTCTCGCTCAATATCCTCATCATCTCCTAGGTCGCTCGTAACAATATGACCGAGATATTTGAACTTCTGTACGACTTTCAGAGGTAAACCATCGAGACATACGGGTGGCACATGTCGTGGCTTCCGTTTCGGTGCCTCAAATACTAATATTTCACTCTTTTTTGAGTTGTATTTAAGGCCATGCTGCGCCGCATATGTCTCGCAGATAGAAAGCAGTTTCCTCAGACCTACTATAGAAGGACTGAGCAGCACCATATCGTCAGCATAGCTTAGATAAAGACGCAGCCGCCAAGTTTAAGTTTGGATTGGTGTTAAAATACCCAAATGTTACAAAATATAGTTAAATAAGGCTGACAAATGAGGATACAGTTCACCTGATGGTAAGTGTAAGTTGTGGCCCATAGACAACTTCTTCATCTATCATTGATTACGAATCAACATGTAAATGTGTTATTACCCTGAGGACCAAGATATAATGCTTCATTACCAGTAGAAATGGTTTTCTATATTGATCATACTTTTATCTTATGCTGGTATTCTGTGAGCGTGTGTTATTTTTCCGGTCGAGCCGAACCATTCGTGTTTCAATTATAATATAGTTGCAGTTTGGCTCTACCACCGAATTCCAGTTACAATTACAGTTTATAAATTTTTCTACTGCTGAACATAGGCTTACCAATAGATTGCCTCATAAAGGGGGTTTCACCAAAGTTGCGACGTTTGGCAGGTGGGATGGTAACCGCAGTTTTTTATTATTTTGCGTTGTTATCTGAAAAATGCTGCTTATTATCTCCTGTTTCAGTTTCCCTCTGTTGTTTCTTACGACACCCATGGGAAAATATAGAGTAGTGGATATTCTTACACCATCACTGCACGGTTTTAAACCCTGTTTTATTAAAATAAAATAAAAAGAAAGAAAAGAGTTTACATGATTAGAAAGATATTAGGGGCTTTTTAAATCTTTAATCATTTATAGGGAAAATATTCTAGTGTTGGCGACACTGTCCATTTTATTTTGCGAATTAATTAATTTGTGCGATAATGTGAGTGATAATGGTCGTGTGAAATAACGTCTCGACTTTCTCCTAATTTTAATATTCAGTGTCAGTGTCCTTTTTTACGACAGGATATTTAGGAGAAATACGCCAAACAAAATATAAATTCAAAGGAAACATTTCAATGGTAAGGACTGCAAATGATATTTTAAATGACCTTTCTTTGTTTGTATATAAATTATTATTATAATTTCATTTATCTAGAACTGTTTATTATTTGAAATACATACATTTAAATAATTTGGTATTTAACTCATGATGATGAACGAATTACCTATTTTACCCTTCGCAATGTTTTTAATTTAGCCTACTTTCCTATAGAACAGCTGTTACGTCGTCACACCTTTTGCCAAACAGCTGAGCGTAAAAGGCGTATTGACTTATTCAGCCGTTTTGTATTATGTTTTCAAAACTTATATGATTAAATCATAATATGGCTATATTATTATACTTTAGTGACTTAACTATTATATAGATTTTTATTATGTTCTGCAATAATATTTAAGCAATGAAAATACAGTTAGAATCAATTATTTACCTATTGAAGCATAAAATCTATATTTTACAAGTCTAAAATTGAAATATTTGTGCAGTAAACAGTAATATCACTAAATGGCACTGGCAGGTAGTTTTAGTTTTGTGGGTAGCGTAGGGATTATATCTCATTCAAGATAATTTTATTTGCATTGTATAATTTTTAATATATTAATGAAAGAAGTGTGTTTGAAGATTTAAAGTAATATATGAGCATTAACTTATTTTGTTACGAATTCTAACTTTCTGTACATTACATTTAAATAAATATAATTTCTTTGTAATGCCACCCTTCAAAATATTTATATAAGCAGTAATTCTTAATTTTGAGAATAAATGGAAGATCCAAATAATGATTAAGATTCTTGTTTCTTATATTAAGATGAATTTTTTGCCATAAGATGCTCTCTAGAGCCTCATGAATAAGTCAGTATGTATGCAGGTACATAATAGTTCAGGATAAAAGCCCCTAAATAAACAAGGACATAAAAAAATAAAAATTATGTAGGTGAGGTTGACATTGGAGCAAAGTTTCACTCATTTTCCCTTACACCAGTAATCAATCCATAAATGTAATACTCTCAATATTACATTATTGTTTTTGATATACCTAATTTAGTTAAAATACTATTATCTACTCTTCCATGTTCTATCTTCTTTAATATCAAAGTCCGGATTCTTCAATCCTTTAATTCAAGATGACTGTATGTATTCATTAAGCATGCATACGTTTGTATAAACTGCTATATGGATTTCTTGCGTTACTTTTTTCTGAAACATATTTTAAGACACAAACATAACTGTACTTAACATAATTAGGATATATATATGTTTAGATTATATTTACGACGTTATAAAGTCAGTGAGCTGATTTTATGGCATGTATGTCTCTTTATTTTAAGCCAGAGTTGACTATGCAACTTTTAATATCATTGCAAGCTGATTGTTTTTATAAAATCGAAGTCACAAACAAACATACAGTCCACCTGATGGTTAGTAGCTATTGTAGGCCATAGACACCCACCCGCAAAACTACAAATAGAGAAGCCTACAGATGCATTGTCAACTCTGAGGAGAAATAGTCCAAGAGCTGGTAGACATTTTTGGGTAGATATTTGAGGCACGCTGAAAACTTGTCCAATACCTCTCCTTTAATACCTTAATATAGAACCCCAGAGAGCTGCCAACATACACTGCCTCTCACACTGCAACTTATTACCGACTAAATAATCTGGCTTATTTATTTTTCTCTCTCTTTAAATTTCATATTTAAAGGCCTATAAATTTCAAAATGCCTCAAGGATATTTTTTGCAAAAACAAATCTGTATCTTTAAAAATATACGGGTTGATTTAGCCCCGCTACTCCCCAGTCAGGTCTGCGGTTCTATGTTTGGGTATTATAGGAGAAGTATTAGACAAATATTCAGCGTGCCTCAAATACCTACCCCAAAAATGTCTACCAGATCTCCTACTAAAAGATTGATTGCCTCACGGCCTGCATTTGTAATTAGTACTGTTTTTCTAAACCCTTTAGACCAGAACACCCAACAGTTCATGAACTGCTGCTTAGGATTAGACACAGGAAAGAGGGTGATACCTACATGAACATGAAAGTAAGGTTTTATAGTCACATCCTCATAATAACCGTAACTCATAAATACTGATGATATGTGGTAGAGCCATGCTGCAGTTATATTAGGAGTATAGTTGTAGCACGAATGGGTCGGCTCGACCTGGGAAGGACCACACTCTCACAGAGTACCAGCGTAAAATAGTAGCTTTATGCTGCTGTGTTTTGTATGGTGAGTATAGAGAACCGGAGACCCTTTTTACTAGAAACAAGGCATTCCACCTTAGTTCTCCAGGGTGATTCGTTATCGAGGTTAGATGTAGATGTCTATGGGCCACAGCAACCACTTACCATCAGGTGGACTGTGTGCTTGTGTGTCACCCTATCCTATAAAAAAAAGTGTAGTGGCATTTAAGAATATCCACTAGCCCATATTTTCATTGTTCATCATTTGCTTTGTGTGAGGCTCAATTTTGGAACTACATGGTATAAATTTAAAATTTCGTACAACCGACTTCAATATAAATTATTAAGAATAACTCAAAAATCTATGACCTTGATCAAATTCATATGGGATCACATGTGAAGCACCAGCTTTCAAATAAAAAAAATCATCCAAATCAGTTCACCCAGTAAAAAGTTATGAGGTAACACACAACAAAAATCATACAGTCGAATTGAGTACCGTCTCCTTTTTGAAGTTGGCAGAAAAGAAAGACTCATTATACATTTTAATATACTAATAATAATAATGTCCTCTTGACCCAGTTTCGGTAGCTGCACTCTGTATTCCCTCACTCTCATAGCCCGTAATCATACAGGACAGGAGAAAGATCAGGCTAAGAACCACCAGCTTTACATGCTTTCTGAGGCATTAGGTTCAAACACCACCAACTTCCTGATTCTGGGTTACTACTACTGATACTTTCTTGACAGATAAATCCAGTAATTGATTTTGGCCTGACTTGAGATTGAAACTCAGGGTCAACTTACAAAATAGACCATAGATCAATGGGGCAGTTGGTTCAATATAATAGCAATGCTATTAATATTAGTAATATTCCCGTTAATTACACCAGGTAGGTAATAATTAACTGCTGTTTTTTATTGGTGCCTGTTGTGGAACATACAGGCGTAATATGATTGACGGTAGAGCCACGCTGCAGCTATGTCATGGTTGTAGCACGAATGAGTCGGCTCGACCAGGGAAGAACCACACTCTCAGTATACCAGCGTAAAATAGCAGCTCAATACTGCTGTGTTTCGTATGGTGAGTGTAGAGAAGCGGAGACCCTTTTTTCTTTAAACGAGGCATTCCATCTTAGTCCTCACAGGTGACAACGCATCTGCATTTTGATTCGTAATCAAGGATAGATGTAGATGTTTATGGGCCACAGCAATCACTTACCATCGGGAGGACTGTGTGCTCGTTTGTCATCCTATCCTATAAAAAAAAAATTCGGACACATAATACTTACCTGCAGTGTAGAGAATATCATCAAATCAACATTGCATCTCTAGAGCACGGTGTCGGCGGGGTGCGCGACGCTGCTGAACGAGAGCGGTCTCGAGTAATAGTCTAAGTATCATATTATATTTAGATAAAGAATGTATGGCATAAATCCATAACTCATTTAAGGAAGCTTAAGATCTCATGCATTTCCGCAAATTGGCGGCATAATTATGTTAAACATGTAGGAAGTAAAACATTAAAAAAATTATATGGTGAATGCAGAGTGGTATTTTATATAGCTATAGAATAGAATATTTTTTTATTCAATATAGATTATGTGTATGTATATGTGTAATTCAATTGAAAGTCACTTTTTACTTTATCACTGGTTCGAAAAAAAACCCTGTCCTGGGAAGAACCAGCAAGAAACCTTAGTGGGACTTTTTTCAAAGTAAATTTTACATTAATGGTTGTACAAACTATTTACAAAATTTATGTTAGAAACTGTTTGGAAGCGACCATCTCATTCCCAGGGGTTATTATAATAACCCTTTTTATACACTTTTAGCTTAACAAAACATTTAAACTTGGTAATAGTGAGAGCCTGTACACATTCCGGGACTGACTGACTCTGCTAACTTGTGTTTGTTCCTAGTGTTTACAGAATGAATATCACTTTTTTTTTAATAAAACTACCTTTGTTTTTATGAACATACGTAAAATTTTCGTAAATGTACTGAGATGCCAAAGTTAATATATTTATTGCTTTAAATTTATCTCTAAGAGACTCGGTTTTAGCTTGTAAATTGTTCTAATGGCCTCTATGGAAATAACTGAAGTAAACTAATCTAGCTGTCTCTACACTAGTGATATTAGTATGTACTTACATATATTAATCTATTTAGCAGGTAGTGGCGTTGTATGAATATCCACTACACCATGCCATCCTGTAGGTGCCGTAAGAGGCGACAGAGGGAAACAAATCAGGAGATGGGTAGCAGCGTCTTCATAATAATGACTAAAAATAAAAAACTGCGGTTGCCAACCCACTTGCCAAGCGTTTCAACTATGGTAAATATTTACCATATGAATAATCTATGGTGGAGGTATATGTTTAGCAGTGGACTTTAATAGGCTGTAGCGGTAACGGTATATTAATCTTAAAGCCATAAATTCGAAAATTATTACTCATAAACAATATTAACATTGTTTATGAGTAATAATTTTCGATATTACGGCTTTGAAATGGTATGTTTATATTCGGATTTTAATTGATTGTACGAACTTACAATTTACACAAGTTGTGTGTAGTGACCCTGATTGAGGTCCAGGTCCAGGTCTAGTGGTCGTAAGCGCGGCTGCTGATTATGTAGTTTTTTTTTCTTTCATTTAATGGGTAAACAAACATCACAATAACAAATGGTTATAATAGTGTTAACTTTTACATTATTGACAATTCTGACATCCACACCGTTTACTACAAATATTATGAACACATTATTTTTACAGGTAGAGAGTAGTTCCGGATCCGAAGTCCGGGTAGGGCTATAAATTAGTAGGTGTTCTGTCAAGAAATTAACAGTAGCAGCCCAGCGTCGGGAAATTGGCATTGTTTCAATCCCGTGCCACGTAAAGAGCGTAAAGCCGCGCTTTTACTGGAAACGAGGCATTCCATCTTAGTCCTCAGGGGTGACAACCCATCTGTATTTTGATTCTTAATCGCAGATAAATGTTGATGTCTATGGGCTACAGCATCCACTTACCATCAGGTGGACTGGGTGCTCGTTTGTCACGCTTATTCTATTAAAAATATCTCGGATTGCCGTCCTCGGACTAGAGAGTGAGTGTATAGAGAGCACACTTATGCTTCTGTATCTTCACACTCTTGTCTTGTGTAAATAGCTTGTCTCCGTCATCGTTGAGCCGATCTAACTGGAACTAATGGAAAACGACATAGCTTATTTTTACAAAGCTTTGAAGCATCGTCATTATCATCATCATCATTACAGCCCTGCACAAGTCTGAACATAGGCCTCCCCCAGGAAATGTCACAAAGCACGGTCTTGACCTATCTGCATCCATCAACTTCCTGCATGGCCTACCACCAGGTTGTCACTCCATCTAGTAGTGCCTCCCTATGCTTCGCTTATTGGTACAAGGCTGTCACTCGAGAACCTTTCTTCGCCATCGGTTGTCGGTTCTTAGAGATGTATGGCTGGTTAATTGCTACTTTAGCTTATTAATTCGTTAGGCTATGTTGATTACGCAGAGAAACCCCGAGAATAGAACTTTCCATAGCACAATTACTCCGCGGGCTATGGATAGGGCTTAAGAAACTTAAACGACTTGATTAATTCGTTAGTGACAGGTATAATTTCCTGCATTATTAGAGAGTAGGCAGAGAGGCGCATTGCCATACTAACCCTCTTTCCTCACCATTTCACCTTATCTGCAGCATGTGGAGGGAGGACACATCTCCCGCCGAAGTCCTATAATAAAAATTTGAAGTGGACTCGTGAAGCTCAGAGCTAACTCGGAGCGGCCATCTTAGGCCGCCTCAAATGGCTCCATGATAATGAGTAATAATTCGTAGTGTGGGGGCAACTTCTTTACAAATCAAGATTAGGTACAATTGCACGCCGCATAGCGTGAGGGAATGCTCTATGAATGGTCAAAGTTAATTTCGCTACATAAAATCGTTCTTATAATTTTAGCTAGACATCAAATCCTTATTATTATTAATGTTACAATAACTACAGACATTGAATTATAAGATTAGTTTATTTTGTAATTGATTCACTTTAGATTACATAACAAAAAATGTAATTGAAAAAATATATGGACTGCCGACCGTTGGTCTGTGCTTCGGTGAGTCTTCTCGCTTAATAAAAATGTAAGCAATAGATTGCACATTCCATGCAATAAATTTTTGTACTTGATGCGAAAAATTACCTCACCAAATAGTTCATCTTATAATATTATCGATGATGTTTATCACATTTTGATAGAATGTGCCCAGACCTCAAGAGAAAGACTCTCTACGTGGTAGAGCCATGCTGCAGCTATATTATGGTTGTAGCACGAATGGGTCGGCTCGAACGTGGAAGGACCACGCTCTCACAGAAAACCAGCGTAAAATAGCAGCTTAACGCTGCTGTGTTTCGTATGGTGAGTGTAGAGAACCGGAGACCCTTTTTACTGGCAAAGAGGCATTCCATCTTAGTCCTCACGGGTGACAACGCATCTGCATCTTGAGTCTTTATTGAGGATAGATGTAGATGTCTATGGGTCACATTAACCACTTACCATCAGGTGGACTATGTGCTCGTTTGTCACCCGATCCTAAAAAAAAAAGAGCAAATTGTAATTTACATGTGTCCTTAATTGGTAGTAGTAATAGTACTTTATCAAATCCGTTATCAGATGATGCCAAACAATTGTATTTGTTAGTTAATAAAAGATTAAGTAACTATTAAGTGTAATAAGTTTAGTAAGTAATTATTATATTTAAGATTCTTTTGTAACTACCAGGGCGGCATAATCGAATCAGAAACAAAGCCCTTAATCCGTGAACTAGCTGTGCCCCGCGGTTTCACCCGCGTCATCACGTGCCCGAGGTGCGCGACATGACCTAGGTCAAGCATTTTATAACGGCTAGGGTTTAAGCGTCGTTCGCGCGCCCAGCCAAGTATTGAATTATTTTAATTTTACATTATCTCTTAAACTATGCGTCCAAATAACATGGTATAAAGAACAAAGTTTATCTTCATAAAACTGTCTTGATGATGAAGTAACTTTCGTTCGTAAGGATAAATAGGCCATGCCTAATAATAACGCTCATAAATCACTTAAATTTTTTGTCACAAAATACCAAATTATGGCTTATGTACAAGAAATAGACATATGGTATCGACTTTTTTTTAGACGGAGTAAAGGTCTATATTTTTCTAGAACATTGTATTTACGTATCCCTAACGATAACACCAGCGTACGCGGATAAATCATTTCGGGAGTGCTTTTTCTTCTGACTTTCTTAACAAATATCCATTTTTAAGGCTACCTGAGTAATAAATCTTAATGTGCTAGATATCCTATACTATTCCACATGAATCTAGCTATAATATACAAAAAGAATTTTTCAAATCGGACTGGTAGTTCCAGAGATTAGCGCGTTTAAACACACAAAAAAACAAAAAAACCCTTCCGCTTTATTATATTAAAATATTAAAAAATATTTTTAGTACCCCTCAATCTAATAAAATATAAAATGTACAGACGTGTGCTATTTACAATTTTATTATATGTATAGATTAAGTATAGATAAAAAAATAAATTAAGCAATAGATTGAGATATAATATAGTATTAAATAAGATTCCACATATTCTAAGGAGGATCTCTATTGATTTTTGTTATTGAACTCAACACCGTTTAAAAGTTATTAAAAGTCATTGAAGTAGGTAATTAAAGTTATTGAAAGTTGATCAATTTCTGTTTTTTTTTTATCTTGTAAAAATTATAACAACTATTTTTATTTTTTTTCGTCAAAATTTAATGAAATGCGCATGAGGCGTGCACCTTTGGATTTTCCAAAGTTTTGTAAATAGACTATAACGACATACATCTTATACTAACCTAACATTCTTTAAATAACCTTGATAACTTTTTGGCAACAGATGTCGGTGGGTTGGGGCAGCCTGCCACTTCTTCCGCTGAGATGTGTACTGGAACATCTGAGCACGGAGGATGCATTGGCAGCGACGTCCGTCTGCCGCCACTGGCGCACCGCCCTTCTTATGTACGAGGGACGCAAGTGAGTTTCGATTTATTGTCCTTAATAAATCTATCTACTATTGGGTAGGACTTTCCAAGAAAACGTCGAATGATGCATTTCTGGAAAGATTTATTCACTACTCGCCAAGTTAGGCCATCCTCTTTTTTAGTCATATTTTACCACGTTTTTTAACTTTATTACGCGGTAGAGCCATGCTGCAGCTATATTAGTAATATAGTTGTAGCACGAATGGGTCGGCTCGACCGAGGAAGGACCACGTGACCCGTGTTTCGCATGGTGAGTGTAGAGAACCGGAGACCCTTCTTACTGGAAAGGAGGCGTTCCATCTTAGTCCTCACGGGTGACAACACATCTGCACTTTGATTCGTAATCGAGGATAGATGTAGTCTATGGGCTACAGCGACCACTTACCATCAGGTGGACTGTGGAAAAAAAATTCGCATTCGTGTATGTCCGTTCGGGTAGAATTTATTAATCTAACTTCTCGATGAGCGAGAGACTTGAAATTTTAAACATGGCTAACAATCGGATGACAATGTAAAATATGAAAAAAAAAACCGGTAAGTATATTAAAAAAATCGATACATAATGTTATAAGTTTTCCTTGTGTAGGTCCTATTACAGGCCTATCGGTGACTACTCTATGATTAAAAATGGGCATTAAAATGTTGGAGCTCATCAATGTCAGACCGGCCTCATCAAGCTCCTGTTAATAACTTAGTTGGTTTAATGGTCGTAACCGCGTTTGCTGATCACGAGATCCCGCTTTCGAATTTTGGGTCGGGCCAAAGTCAGAAACTGGGTTTTTCTGTCAAGAAATTTTCAGTAGCAGCCCGGAGTCCAGGACGCTGGATATGTTTCACCCCCGTGCTTCGAGAAGCACGTAAAGATGTTGGTCCTGCGTCTGATCTCTCTCCGATCGTGACCGATTGTAAGCTGTTATTTAAAAAAAATCCCGTTGGGTTTCTTGCTGGTACCCAGGACATAGGTTTTTCTCGAACCAGTGTTAATTATACAAAAGAGTACCTAACTTTCAATAAGTATTATTTATAATCTATATTGAATAAAAAAGTTTCTTTTTCTGTTTCTGTCGGATTACCTTCCCATCGGACTATGAGAGTGAGGGATTAGAGAGTGCACCTGTGTTAGCGTATATACTTGAGCACTATAACCCTGTCCTGCGCAGATGGCTAGTTTACTTTGAGACTGACCGCCGTGACCGAAATTCGGTACTGGATGACATTATTATATCATACCTGTTCACGAGTATGACGCATGTAGCCCTTGCCCTCCTCGATTATTTTAAAGAGAGTGAAAGATCGGGCGCCGTGAATCAAGCTAGCATAACATACATAAATTTACCACATACTGAGATCTATTTAAAACACAAAAAGGTCGTTTGATTGTTCAGTCTGTAGTTTCTTCGGCATTTTTGAATCAATCATCATTCCTTTCTTCATAACAATGGTTTTTTCAATTTATGCAAAAGCAAATTCATAATATAACATGGAATCTTGTTATAAATAGATATACATCTAACCAAATATAAGGCGCTAGTTTTATGGAGTTTGGAACAGCACACGTCGATTTATTGCGCGTGTCAAGATCGTGGACACTAATTTTGCCAAAGCTATTAAAATAGTTCTGTACATTCTGTACATAAATAATATTATCCAAAATGAATTGTGATGCAACAGTTTCTGGGTTAGTCTGCTAATATTGTTATTGTAATTGTAAATTGAATTATAAATATACATATAGAAAAATTTTAACACGATGTCTGTCTGAACACGCATCACGCAAAAACATGTGAACCGATTTGGATGGGACTTTCGCTGGCAGATAGCTGATGTTATAAGGAGTAACTTAAGCTAATTTTGTTTTAGGAAAAGAATTAGGGTTCCGCGCAAAAAAAATTAAAATCAATAACACACACGCGGGCGAAGTCGCGGGGAATAGCTAGTATTGTAAATACATGTGTACCTACACCAGGGATTCCCAAACTTTTATGGTAATGGAACACACCACTTCCCTTTTATTTTATGGAACAACACATCAAATGGTTACATATAGACAGTGCAGTTGAAATATCATAATATAATTCTCGCTAACTACCTACATACGTATCTATATAACAGTAATGGGTTCTTCTCATCACGTTTTTTCTTTTTATAGGATAAGGATGACAAACGAGCACACAGTCCACCTGATGGTAAGTGGTTGCTGCGGCCCATAGACATCTACATCTATCCACGTTTGCGAATCAAAATGCAGATGCGTTGTCACCCGTAAGGACTAAGATGGAATGCCTCATTTCCAGTAAAAAGGCCCTCCGGCCACCTGCACTCACCAAGCGAAACGCAGAGGTAAACCTCTACTTCACGCTGGTATTCTGTGAGGTCGTGGTACCACCCCGGTTCGAGCCGGCCCATCCGTGCGACAGCAATTCTACCGCGTGGCTCTACCACTGTTAATGTCATATTTGCGCTATTTCAAAATTGACAGTGACATTATTATAGAGTGACATTATTAAAAAGTAAAAATAATTATTCTTTCATACGTGGTAGAGTCAGGCTGCAACTATATTATTAGTATAGTTGTAGCACGAATGGGTCTGCTCGACCGGGGAAGAACCACACTCTCTCACAGAATATCAGCGTAAAATAGCAGCTCAATGCGGCTGTGTTTCATATGGTGAGTTTAGAGAACCGGAGACCCTTTTTACTGGAAACGAGGCGTTCCATCTTAGTCCTCACGGGGGACAAGGCATCTGAATTTTGACTCATAGTCGAGGATAGATGCAGATGTCTATGGACCACAGAAACCACTTACCATCAGGTGGACTGTGTGCTGGTTTATTACCCTTATCTTTTTAAAAAAAATTGCCGAGCCCTTCCACTGTGATTTCCACGGAACCCTTTAGTAATCTTTGACTTACACACACCCACTACACCTAACAGTAATAAATAAGCAAGTTATATTTATGTATACGCTTGTTTTTTTCGTGCGTGCGTTTGCGTATGTTGATAAACGACAACAGTAATGCCTTTATTCTCGTTCAAGTATTTCAATCCGATTACGAGAGTTGTAAACATGTTTATTTCACAATGCCTACGTTATGTCATCGGCCGGGCCATGACTTTCATATGTGAACGGTTATTTTTTTAAATTTATTATGAGCCAGTGCTTGACCACAATCCCATCTGGTGTTAAGTGGTGTTTTAGCCTTAGTCTTAGCGTAACAAAAGCCTATTCACTCTTGCCTTGAAGAAGCCCAGATACAGGGATCGGACGGAAAGATAGACGCCGGCAAATTATTTCACTAATTCGCTGTGCGCATTATAAAAGAGGGAGCAAATCTTTTGGTTCTAATGCGTGGAATATCGACAACAAAAGGGTGAAGACCCGCCGACCGCTTGGTTGTCCGATGGTGGAAAGGAGAGGGAGGAATTAAAGCGTGTAATTCCTGCGCACACTTACCGAAATGCATCCTATAGAATACCGAGAGACTGGCTACTTTGCGCCTGTGCTCGAGGCTGACAAGATTGGTTTCAACCAAATCAAGTTTACCAATAAGTCTTTTAGCACGTCTCTCCACAGAGTCCAACGCTGCCAGATGGCATTTTGCAGCGCCAGCCCATATGTGACAGCAGTACTCCATGCACGACTGGACTTGCGCTTTATAAAATACTTTAATGCTCCTTTGTTTGTGTGCGGATTTTACGTATCTCGTCTAACGTTTGAATAAGCATAATTACGATGCGGTCACGCGTTACACGGTTAGTGTACTTGGCTGCTGAGTGGTCTATGGGTTTGATTCTGCTTTGAACTTGTGAGAGTGAAGCGTACTAATTACTATAATAAAATACACTGAAGTTTATCCATTAAATTGGTGATATAAAGAATACGTCCCATGGGTCACAAAATCAATCGCGTCACTTGGAAAGGGTAGGGAGGATTTTTTTTTTATAAAACTGTACCTGCGGAATATAGGTTCGCCATAACTGAGCCACTGCGTTGCTATTTTTTTTAATAATTTATATGTGACACACGAGCTAACAGTCCATTTGATGATATATGTGGCTACAGTAGTCTATTAAATATAAAAAAACAGATGAGTCGTCGTCCCTGGGTACTAAGATGAACGTCACAACCTGTTATTACAACGTTTCTATTAAGTCACTTTCTTATTTGTCTGTCTGTCTGTTTGTCTGTCGTTCCAGGTGGAATCTTGCAACTAAAATTTCGAGCAAATAATTCCAATGATCTAGAGCAGCGATTCATACAGTGGGTTCCGTAGAAAAGTAACCGGGGTTCCGCGAAATTAATTTTATTGCGCATACCACTGTCAGACAAAACTGGACTATAAAGCAATTATTGATAAAAGAGTAAAACAATTTCATTCTACACATTAAAAGATAAAGTAAAGAATAAAGTGTTTTACTTTTAAAATATTTCTAATAAAAGTTTTTGTTCTTATTTAAATTACAGTGTTTTCGATTTGTAATCATCTGATATGGAGTTTCATAAAATGCGTGTGGTGGGTGTTCCGTTATCTTAAAAGTTTAGGAACCCCTGATCTAGAGTCTTCAAATTTTAAACATAGCTCATAATCGGATGACGATGTAGGAATATGAACTATAAACGATAAAATACGTGATACTTATATCAAATTTTTTTGATACATAATTAAAAAAAAACCACTTGTTTCCTTTCAAACACAAATGCGGCCGCATTACGGCTTTGCGGCAGTAACTTGAGCAAGAGGGTACTACGAGACGAGAAAGTGATGATTGATAGTTTCGGGACTTAATGGGTTTAGATGCATTATCACTAACTGCGTAGGGCTAGGCGTTGCGAGATTTTAGGGTGACGGGGGTACTGTCCCAGGGACGTGCTTTTAGCAAAGCGAAGGAGTCTGGGACCATGGGATCATGGGACATCTATATTGATAGTGACCACGTTGGAAGTCCGACATAACTTTTTTTTATAGGATAAGGGTGACAAACGAGCACACA